TTACAGCAATAGGACAACATAAAGACAGTATTACAGTAAAACAGCAAAATACAATCATATTAATAATGTAATCACTAAACTACTGAGTTTAAATATTATGAAACTATGGTGCAGTACCATTTTGTGTAGAGGCAGCAGGGGGCAGTATTGGACCAACACAAGGCTCCATTGACTCCAATTATAAATTATTAAACATTAATATTTCAAAAACGATTAGTTATACAAGCACCAAAAGGCATAGCCATCATTTGGCATAGGAGCTTTACACATACAAATTACAATGGCAGCTCTAGGACAAAGTATACAGGAGGAGAAGCATGGCAAAGTGGAGATGACTTGGATGGGAAACGAATCACAACAGTGTGCATTGCATCAGCAATGCACACTGATAAAGTCAGAGTATTTGAGGGACATTAGTGATGGTTATCTGGTGTTTCAGGTCAGGGTTGTTTAACTTGCCATAAAACTTTAATAAAAATCTAATTAGTGTCACATTTATTGGTATTTTAAAAAGCTAAACAGTAATTTATCTGATGATGAATTTTGCAGTGTTAAATCAACACTTAAAGAGTTAAATTTAACACTGTGTCTGAGTCTATTTGGTTCTTATCTGAACTGGTGTCAATTTAACTCTTTCCTCAGTGTTACATTTTCAGAGTACAATTTAACTCTAAACAGAGTTAAAAATTAACACTGACTAACACTGTAAACTTAATACTGTACAGTGTTAATTAATAAAATTTAACATTTCAAGTCAAATAACTGATGAGAGTAACTATGATTCTAAGCAGAGTTAATAAGGTACTCCACTGTGGTGACAAATGAACTCTGATTCTCATGCTTTTCAACACTGCACTGAGTTATTGATGTTAACACTGGAGGTTCATATACCTCATATGAGTGTTACTTTGACACTTGAATTGATTATTTACTCTTGCTGTGTAGAGGGGTGTAAATGAGACACAATGAAGTGTCATGACACAGCTAATTTGAAAGTGTGAGTTTAACACTTCAGTGTTAAGATCAACTCTTTTTAGTGTTGCATTAACATTACACAGGCATTATTGGATAAGTGTAATGGAGTCGACCTTCACACACCAGGAAGTAGCTCTCACTCATGGTTTAAGATTTATGGCCAATAACACAAACTTAAACTTGAACAGCTGGTAAAACCGAACAGGAAAACTAACCAGAACAACTAATTTTTACACTCATGAACTTAGTTATAAACATGCAAAAACATCATTTCTACAAGATTACCCAGCAATCCTTGCTGTGAAAACACTGGTCTGTCTGACATGAGGTGGAAGAGGGCGGGGCTTTTCAGAGTACTGCTTTCAACACTGCATGGTGTCGTATAACAACACTGTTAACACTTAACAATGGGCGGGGCTTATTTAACACTGTCCACTGTTGACAACACTGAGGGAAATCAACACTGAATTAACACCAACACTGGATGTCAGTGTTAAAACAACACTAGGGGGAGTTAAGTTAACTCTGAAAAGTTAACACTGATTTTTACTGTGGCGGTTCTCTAACTAGTCCACACAACAAAAAGACGACCTCAGATAATCTTGTTGAAGTTTAAAAGTGTTTCTTTGAAGTGAAAAGGTCCTGACTGGACCTCCAGCCGGGTCCTTTCTGCAGCGAGTTCAACGTTTTTCTCTAAAAGCTTACACCAGGTCATGTGCGACTGACTCGGCCCGATGTGAGTTGGTTTGTTGTGTCGAACTCGAATCGTTGTTTCAGTTTTACCGACTCTGCTTTTGGTTTTTCTGGTTCTGATGCCGAGAGAAAGAAATCTGCGCCGACAGACCGACCAGACGCGATCTTTTCTCCGTGTGCAGTTTGGGGGTCGGCGGAGATGTGGTGGTGCTGCTGCTGCGCAGCCTGAGATCCATTTGACTGGTCTCGGTCCCGACCCACAGTTTGAGCAACACTCGTAAATCAATAAGTCCATTTCTGAGGAGCCCTGTGCACTCGGAGCCAAGACTCTCCTCTCAGTAGCTTGATGAATGTCGTCCGTTTTCCCCGGAGCCCATTCAGCTCGGTGGCACCGTGGTATTCTGAGCAGGCAATCTGTGGACACCACAGTAGCCTTTTGTTTGGGTGTTGGCCAGCCCCCCACCACCCCCCCAAGCCCCCCGCCAAGCTGCGGAGCAAAATGGGCATCGGTGGTAAAATGTACACAGATCCTCCAGCAGCATCTGTAATCTCCTACTGCACAGGGAAACACTGGAGGGGCTGGTGTGTGTGTGTGTGTGTGTGTGTGTGTGTGTGTGTGTGTGTG